TACACAAAGGGCTATCTGTATTTTGCCCACTACGGGTATCAAAACCCGGTTTCTAACAATATAAGTTCGCAGACATACCACTGTGCCACTGAGGGGGGGGGGGCAATTATTTTGGTGTAACGAAATGTAATGCTTTTCATTTAAGCATGGTTAACATGTATTGTACGCTTTAATTATATGCTCGGTGGCTCAGATTTTAAACGCTAAAATTGGGTTGTTTCGATACCCTCGGCGGGAAAAGAACAGATAGCCACTTGTGTAGCTTTGTGATTATCAACAAATAATGTTACTCTAGTGAAAACGAATACTGAGCGTAAGAGAAAGAGTGAAATAAAGGTTTGGTTTGAAGTTCACGCATAGCTAGCTACACGACTAGTGGTATCATCATCATTAGATATTATTAGTCAAAGAGCAATATTCAGTTAAGTGAAATGCAGAAGAAAAAGCTTAGATGATGAAAATATCACAAAAAAATCTGAGAAAAAAATATTTGAAAATAAATTTAGCAAAATTAATAGTATTTCCAGCTTGGTAGACTTTTATTCCACACATGCCATGGAAGAGGTGATTTGTTCCTTGAATCGCTGCAAAAATTGATGAAATGTGACTCCACGTATAGAGAAAATCAAATGTAATATTTCTTCTCTGGCTGCTGAGCAGATACCGTAGAGTTCTAGAAAGAATACAAAGTTGGAAAAGAAGATGGTAGAGTATTTTGACCATCTTCTCGAGGGTAACAAGCTCTAGTCTAATTAAGTTTACAAATTACAGAGAATGTAGAGTTGAAAAGGGTAATTGATATTTTTTCGATAATTATTGATGGTGTCTGTTGCTTATCTTAACGTAAACGGACTAACAATGAAGTCAGATGCCTGTGGTAAGTGGCTTGATGAGACAATGAGAGCTGAAAAACATGTCTACACTCAAAGAGTTGCGTGTGGTAAAAGAACGAAATACCTTTGGAAGTTCAGTTTGGGATTCTATTGGAGATATACATGATGGAGAGAAAAAAGAATGAAAGAACAAAAATAATCGTGACAGTAATTAAGGGGAAAATCCCGCGGTGGTTATTAAAGTGAATTTACGTAGGATGATGAAAGAAAAAAGAATAGCAGACTTGTTAGACAAGTAATGAATAAACAAACGTAGAACGAAATAACAAAACTAGATATATATAGTAATCAAATACTCTTGAATGGCAACAAGTGGAGATAGCTGCTGGAAAATAAGAGAAAAATTTAAATATCAAGACAAGCTGCATTATTAAGTAAAAACCCTAAAGTAACATAATGTGGAAGAATGACTCATATGGAGGAACGAGAAGTTGTATGTGTCCCAATACAATAAGGCAGTGAATAAATTACAGTTCAGAGAAAAATCAACCCGAAAACGTAACATGAAATAAGACAACAGTCTGTTTGTTTTATTCAAGCACAATGAGATATCTAATCTGTATTTGTTGTGGGGAGCGATCCCCGAGTTTTAGCATTATAAACCCTCTTGAGCTTCCCGTTAACTCATCGGGGAATACAAGAAACCAAAGTAAATTTACCAAGAAAAATTATTATATAAAAGAGGAAATCAAGGAGCAGCATTTGGTTAGAAATGAGATGAATCGCTAAGAAAAGCTTAGTGGTCAACTATGTGGACTCAAGGACCACACAGTTCGAAATGGTGAAGTCATTAAGATGAAATATTCTTTCGACTAGTGGTGCCATTAGCAATAGAAATGTTGGACGAAGAGTTTTTATTTCGAACAAAGGACCTAACCGAACAAAACATCGTGTTTGTTGCTTATGGAGATAAAACACTGTTTATCTGTGCAGGACACTCTTTGAAAAACCTTACTTGAGTTTCTGGTTGTTTCTTGAACATTTAGACTTGACAGACGCGTGACTAACAGCAGAAGCTAGTTTGTTTATTGAATGTTTGCTTATGATAACATTATCGAACTTGTGAGGCTATAAAAATGACATTCCAATCGTGCAAGTTAATGTTTTTATGGTATTTTGATGTTGATGAACTAGATGTGGTATAGATTGGACAAGGTGGCTGATAGACGCACTTCTGATAACTGTAGAAGATGGATGAGACGAGCTGATATTATTCTGATTGATACGTGAACAGAACCATTTGGCAATTTACAAAAACTTTGGAGAAACACTGGACTTTAAAAATAACATTAATATACTTATTGAATGTGATGAGTTTCGGGAGTGGACAATTAGCTGTAGGAGCAGCAATAACTTGCTTGTTAAGGTCAGCAAGAAAAGTACTGAATGCAGTAGTGGACAGCTGAACTGCAGGATATAGAAGATTCAAGTTGAGCCACTTCGCATTACACTATAGGAAATGATTTTTGAGTGGAGGTTTCAGAAGTTATTAGGCACTTGGAAATAGGACAACGTGAGTCGTCTTATTTCATCTTATGAACCAGAATAGGTTAGGAAGTCTACAGACGCAGGATCCTGTGTGATCATCTGTGTTATGTATGATCTTCAGGAAGAGATGAGAAGTCTACAGACTCAGGGTCCTGTGTGATCATCTGTGTTTATGTATGATCTTCAAGACTGCCGTGTGGTCCACAACCGACTAAAGTAAATACTGTTTTTTTCCTAAAAATAATATACAATTACGAGCTCATAAGATCTTCTCTATTTCATTTCTGTGTTCAAACTTAATATTATTAAACCAATAAAGTTATTTTACAACGTGTAACATGACACTTTCTGTTACTTTCACAACGACACTAAAACTAAGTGGAATTTTTTTAGATGATTTTTAGTTGAAGAGGAAATTAATTCAAAAATGGAAGACAAAATCTAAAGAAAACGTAAGTTGTGCGTTTGTTATATTATATACAAAACTACTGAGCAGAGAGAAGATAGACAATCAGTAGCACGTGCTGTCTATGCGGAGCATGTCCAGAGGAATATCGTGTCTCTGAGTTTAGACCTACGACCGCAGCTTGGCACTCTAATCACTAGCCACCTCCGGCCCACTTATAAAAATGAGTGAAAAGGAACAAAATAGCATATCCAGATATAGTTAAGGCAAAAGCTATGTAAGTTCTAACTTTTTAGTTTGACGTCTGATACGGTGATCCAGTGAGTTTTTAATCATATATATAGAGTTCTAAACTTAAACAATTCAGAAACGATCTTATGAACTTTATCAGTTCTTTTGGTTCTAGCTATACAGATTGGTCAAATGAGCATAAAAAGTGTTATTGGGTTGTAAAGTCATTGCTATAATCAGATTTGCAATTAAAATTAAATATATTATTGACTATTATTTAATTGTTGTAAGTCGAAACACAAGAAAATACGACCTATTGTATTAGATTGCATTGACTCATCAGTTGGTACCTTTGCTGTTCACTATATTTTGGCCATAATTCACACCACATCTTACAATGTTCGACTAACTTAAGAGATTGAATCTGGTCCTAAATATACACATTAATCATTAATGAAAATAGTATCGTAATTATAATTCAGTAAATATTGTGTACATACAATACATTTCATTTAACAATACACAACATATTTTGTTTTTGGAAAACTACTTAACATGTAGCACCATACGAATAATTTAATTATTTGGGATCTGCTAAGTTTGTTTGTAATTAAGCACAAAGCTACACAACGGGCTATCTGTGCTCTGCCCACCACGGGTATCGAAACACGGATTCTAGCGTTGTATGTCCGCAGACATACCGCTGTGCCACTGGGGGGCTACGAATAAAGAAGAAGAAACAAGCGCAAGACTAATTCTACACAATTTCTATAACGTTTTCAGCCATCTAGATATTTTACAATATGTTGAAAAAAAAAGAATAAATTGTTAAAAAGTACATTTTATCAGTAACTTACCATTAATAACAGTTTTTACAAAAATATATATTGTTATTTAGTACGTAAATATATGCAAAGATGTAGTGGCGCCATCTATTTGTTATAAGAAAAACTGCGTAGACTTAATAGAATATGTGACAGATGTCACCCAATTGGCTAGTGGCAAATTTACAGCCTTACAACTCTAAAATGTGGGGTACAAATCGTTGTGGTGGAAAAAGCGCATGTAGTATTTTGTGTATTATTGCGCTAAAACAAAGATGTGATAATTAGGTTCAGATAATTTGTTATAATATAAATTGGTAGCAGTTTTTTTATTATTATTTCAAAATTTATAACTTCATAATATTTTATATGAGGCATTGGAATATACAAAAACAGTAATGTTAAAAATTCTCAGTTGATGATCCACATAGTTTCCGAAGTGTCACTGAAAATATTATTATATTTAATGAAAATATATAATCTAGTCTCTAGTATTTTCATCAGACCTATACTGATGTAATTCTATTATGTGTGAAAACTGCTGTTGGGTTAGGTCTAAGTTTATGAAGACATTGTAGATGATGAAAAAGTCCAAAGACCTCAAAACATTTGGAAACGCTAATACATGTTTTTTCCACTAGATGCCATCACAATCGTAGTTTGTATTGACCCGAAATTAACTAGGTAAAATTAGGTATAATATACATTCATTTTACATATGTTTAATTTTTTTTAGAGCTTCCTTTAATTGCACTTACCCAAATACATTACATAATTTTATGATAATTTTTACTTCACGCAATTTTTTAAACTATCATATTCTTTAGTATTACAATAGCTTCTTGATGATATTTTGTTTGTTTGTTTGTAATTAAGCATAAACGTACACAATGGGCTATCTGTGCTCTGTCCACCATGGGTATAGAAACCCGGATTCTAGCGTTGTAAGTCCGCAGACACCCCGCTGTGCCACTGGGGGGGGGGCAGTGATGATATCTAGAACGTGTTATTGTGACTTTATAAACGGTCTGGTATTATGCAAAAGAAAATACAGAAAATTTGGGTTTTCATAACCAGAGTTCGCAATGAAAGAAATAACTTTTTTTTCATTGATAGAGTATCTCATTTAATCAAGAATCATGTAAAATTTCTTCTCACCTATATCATCTGTGTTATCTTCTTTTATCTTAGATATATCTCTTGTACTTTGATGTTTTCGAAACTGATCAGCTATGTTTTTCTCCTGTTCTTTTCGCTTTTCAAATGTTTTCGTACTTCCCTGGGAATTATGTGGCGAAGGAGGAAACGTCTTGAGTGATGTTTTACTGTTCAAGTTACGAAGTATTTCTAAACTGTCTTCGTTACTTTTGGACTCATCTATATCATCTTTCTGGTTTTTCAACGCCCACTGCTCGATTATTTTTTTCCGGACAACCTGCTTGTCGATTATTCGACGCCTTTCCATTTCTATCTCGTGAAGATTCAGTTCAGAATCTGAGTCTGTTGCATCTGGAACGTATTGAGGATTTGATGTCACATCTTGAACGTTCTCTGGTTTTGATGTCATAGCTGGAATATTTCGAGACTTTTCTGTTGCAGATGGAGCTTTTTGTGAGTTTGAGGCCACATCTTGAACGTTTTCTGGATTTAATGTCCAGTCTGGAAATATCTGTTGCTTAAACAAATAGTCAGTTTCTCTTGTATTTTCTTTGCTTTCTTCTTCACTAGAAAAGTTTTCGTCCATATTAGTAATGAAAACCATTTTTGCTCCAACAATTCCATCTAATTTGACGTTCTTAGAAGTACTGAAGTTTTCCAACTCTACAGTTTCCATGTTTCTTTGTATAATGATACGTATTCCTGTTCAAGTTCAAGATGTTCTTCCCATTTATATTTTGACAATATGTCTTTAAAATCTTTATGAGGATCCCCCTTAGGATCTTCCACTATACTTAAAGTCACAGAAACATTCGTATATTCAATGCTGTTAAGATATAAATCTTTATGGTAGCTATCGGCATACTCTGAGCTTTGTTCAAAAGATTACTCCGACTTCTTGTAATCACCGTTTTCGTGGTCTTCACCCTTTCGTTCGATATGACATTGTGTTCAGCGTTAGTTCCCTCCTATAAAAGCTAAATCTTTCAATCCAATTTTAGTTTCGTGGTCAATGTCTTTCTCCATACATTTTTTCAGTTAGTGGCATTAGTTTCACTTTTCAATACTCTTCGATTGGCTACAGTATGTCGCTAAGGAATTCAAAATATCAAATATTCCAATGGACTAGCAAAGCTTGGAATGGTTAAACTTTCTCCAGAGATGCCTCAGTATATGTGAACCTCATTGCAAATTTTAGCTGGAGGTTTCCAGTAATGGTAGGTAATCTAAAAATATAAGATACAAGTTTTTGAGATGAATATTTAGTAGAGACGTACATCACAATTTGTTTATATAAATTGATCAAAAGACAGTAGTAAAATTAGCTACGCGTATTTTTAGATACTAAAGTCAATGACAAATATCAGCAAACAGCATATTACCAGATTCTCTAAACCTCTCTATCCTTGCTTCTGCTTCAAGTATCGAGTAATAAGAAATACATCATTCAACCATACGGCGAACATACACATAGACGAATTAGAATGAAAATAACTAAAACACTGTCTTTGAAATTATTGGAAGCTTTAAATGTTTCTTCACGATTTTTCAACTGTCAGAGACATTCAAGAGATGATGTCACACTTTATTCGGTTATTATTATAACTAGTGTAGTCTATATTTTTTATAATTTTGTTATTCATGTGTTACAAGGTTAAAGATGTTCTTCCAGGGAGTATACAGTTCTAAAATACTGATCTTATTGATGTTAGAGACACTTTCTTCTTGATTAGAGATGTGCTTAATAATCGTTAACAGTAAAAAAATATCATTGAAATTGTGGCAGAGAGATATGTCTGTGGACTTACAAAGCTTGAAACATAGATAGCCCATTATATAGCTTTGTGTTTAACTATGGACAAATCAAGGAAATTAATCTAAACATCTTAAAGTATTCACCAATGATGATAATATGCATAGCTTAAATTATACAAGTGGAAAACATATTTAAAAAATTTAAAGTGTAGGAATGGGTGCACCAAAAAGTGACGAAACAAGGTAGGAATGGGTATAAAACACTTCTTCTGTACAACCTCACAAGGGGACGTGTCCAACATACGGTCCATGTCTACTTCGTTTATTCTTTCTATCCTGTATGCAATAAGCCAGGTGGACTAAATTTATCAAAGTTAGTTATGCTTATCATACAATGACTAGAGGTTTCTGTGAATCGAATTATTGGAGGCAATACAAGTACTGTAAAGTCTGTTTATACGACCCATAACTTTACAACTTGTCCCTTCTTTTGCAATTGCATGAGCAGGAAATAGGATTTCGTACATTAACTATATAGATGGATTAAAATATAAAGATAAAAAATCGTAAGAGGTTTCTGTGTATCGACGTCATAGATTCGTTACTGTCTGTACTGAAGTATCATAGACTTTTGTACGTACCCATGTGTTATATAATATCATAAACACAGAAAATCGAAGTAGGTACGAGATGGATATTGGACACACCCCTTTGTGAGGTTGTACAGAAGAAGTTTTATGACACCATGCCCATTTCTACCTTATTTCTTCACTTTTTTGGTGCACCCATTCCTACACTTTAATTTTTTTTCCACTTGTTCATGCATTTTTTTTTCATACAAGGTGACATGATCTTATGCATCATTCATTCATTTGTGTTGATATCCTGTATGTATGTCATCAGTGTGGGTGTGCACCATGATATTACGCTACGTATTAGATGCTTGTAAATGCAAACTTGATTAAATTTACAATGCGTTTTATAAATTCCTTGCAAAAAAGCGTAGCTTGTCTTCTAGCCTAGAAAGTGAAGCTTCTCTCAAGGCTCACCCTACGTTGGCATACCCCATACTACTCAAAGATTCCAGATTTTGGAACATAGAGTTGTAGATTGAGAAGACCACACCCTCTTCACAGTTTTATATGACTACACCTACTCAATATACAAAATGAGCGAGCGGACGTATATATTTCAAAATGGCGTCACTTTTCAAGGTAATACTTGATGTACGTCAAATAGCTCTTACTTTAGGTGATGTTTAGTATAGAAAATCGTGAGCTCTAGCACGTGGTCCCTGTGCTATTGTTCTATTAGGTGCACTTATAACTATGGTAAGCCTGTTTATTACACAGCTAGAAGCATTCAACAATTTTAGTCAGTCAATGAGACTGAGAAATTTGTGTTTTTGTAAATATTTAGTATCTGCTCTGCTAACTTTCTCAAGTGGTTCTATGATTTCTAATGTTGTATTTGTTTTGTTTATCACCTAAGTGTGTCTCTCAAATAGTTTGAAGATTTGTTACTTAGTTGTTAAAAGTATATATGGGTAAATAATTTCTATTGAACGTATTGTGTATCTTCCCCATTCCTACTATAAGTACTACGGTACTTATGATATAGGTTTTGAATAGTCCTACAGGGGATCGGTTAAGTTAGTGAATATAAATGGTTTTTAACATTTAAAGCAGCTCTGAGTCTAAATTATTTGTTAGTCTATTTATCTATATTTGTATAAACAACGACATCAAAGTGGGGTATGATAGTTTAAAGAAATATTGGCATTATTCGTCAGTATGGTGATCCTTTTATTTCTATATAAGAAATTCCTTGAACGAGCAAAATAAACAGAGTACCTAACCTGTGGCGCCCTCCTCTGACGTTAATAGGCATGTGCTTTACTGTCTCTCGACTTATTGTACAACTGTTGTAAGCCATTATGTTCTTGCATTGTATATAAATGTGATTAATTTTTAGAACGTAACTCTGTTGCATTTCGTACAAATTATTCAATTTGGAAACTTTTTTTTATTCATAATATGTACGTCGCTTATGAATAAATTTCACAGCAGACGATACTGGCTATTCAGTGTATCAGAATATGTGTTATTTGCTTACGATCATAGGTCAGAAAATATAAGTACATCCCATTGTCATATTTTTCTTCCTTTTTCTTTTGCCGGTGTTGTTGTTATAGGTCTAAATGTAGAATAACAAGAGCTTTATATGTACCGATAACCAAACCACGTGGTCACACAAATAATTATTGTATAATAAAATAAACGTAGTCTGTGGATAGATAGCTGGAACAAGCACCTAATTCAGCAGCAAAAATTTTAAAATATATAAATAAAACTGATATTGTTTCCCTAATAAAAATCCACCTAACAAAATGCATTATCAGCTGTTGTTCGATTACTTTTAAAATTACAGTTAAAGTTACAGGTAAGTGTTCGATTAAAGTTTTTTAATACAGTTCTACTTTATTTTAGTATTGGTTTACTTTAACTCTTATCTCTGTTATGATATAAACCTTACTAAGTAGAAAGCTGCAATCCCATTTCTGGGCTGATCAGTGAGAATATAAATACAGCTTAATGATGAGAGGATCCCCATCCCACCAAACATGCTCGCCCTTTCAGCCGTGGGGGCGTTATAATGTGACGGTCAATCACACTATTCGTTGGTAAAAGAGTAGCCCAAGAGTTGGCGGTGGGTGGTGATGACTAGCTGCCTTCCCTCTAGTCTTACACTGCTAAATTAGAGACGGCTAGCGCAGATAGCCCTCGTGTAGCTCTGCGCGAAATACAAAAAACAAACGAATGATGAGAGGTTTGTTGTGTTATTCCTTACAGTTTCGTTTTCCTTTATTGCGGGCTTCGATTTGGCCCAACTTGTCATGTGTATTGGGGACGTATTTACCCTCTCACAAATACCACAGGGGACGTATTTACCCTCTCATAAATACCACATGGACATTATAGAAAATTGCTAATAATTAAAAGTATACATTTAACAGATGTTATTAAGAAAACATATAAAACTCTGTTGATTTTGAAGGTAAATATTTTCTTCTTCTTTTTACAAAAATGGTTGCTCCATTCAGTAAACGTTCTTTGCTTTCACGAGTATTTATCACAGCATTAGTAAACAGTAAAAAATAATAAAAAATCGGAGAATGGAAGATTACCTCGAGTATGTGGAGATAAAGGATCACGTGAGATGTACTCGAAGTATTACGTACTTTTTATAAAGACTAATTCAAGTGTATGAAGAACCTAATTGACTTAGTCGAAAAAAGTACCTTTATACTATGCCAAAAAATCAAAACCAAAAACGCTCCCATTTAATACAGATATATGTTCTCTACTGTATATGTATCTATACGTACACAGCAATAGATCTTTTTTACAGCCGATACCTAATAAAAGCCGGCTATATAAAACAAAGGTGTAATTACATACACCACTATCAATGTTTCATATGTTTCTCAACGGGGAAAGGAAGTGGTTTTGATAAACATCTTGAATCAGAGGGAATAATGTTCACAAACGTTCCCATTGAACGGATGAACCAGCTTTACGTTCAGAAACAAGGCTAAGACGCTATGTGTCTCTGTCGACAGTTGATCACGTGGTTTAGTAAACAGACAAAGGGAAGCGCATTAACAACTTGATCCCACCCTTGAACACCCTACATCCCATAGACCATGAGAAAAACATGGTTGTTTGAAAAACAATCCAGCAACTTTCATACTTTGACCTTGAATCCCTTTGGAATATTCAACATTTTCTAAGGCGTCAACTTGCCAAGATTGTTTGAGATTGACTCAATAGACTGGGAGTAATTAACCAACAGGCTTTACAAAATAGAAATAGGGTTCAATAAGTTCAATTTTGACCCCCTTAGGACATTTCCCATAGTTCATAGTTTCTACATAGAAACTTTGGTTGAGATTGGCCCAATAGGCTCGGAGAAGTTGGGGTGCAAACAAACATACATTTCGTCTTTACATATATATAGATAACTACATTATATATAACAATCTGTAAAAAAAAAATATATATATATACCAGATGACATCGAAAGATAAACAATGCAAATTGTTAAATACTATATCGACCGTATACAAAGGTTTTTGATCTTCTCATTTGAACTCAAGCCCTAAACATGAAACTAGTTTAAAGGTATTGCAGTCGCAGAGCTTCGAAATTTTTGGCGAAAAGTAAAGCTTTCTAAGAAAAGTAAACTATATTTCACACCAATAATTATACTGTAAAGTATAACTTTAAAAGGCTTTTACCTTCTGCGTGATTTAAACATACTTACTATTTACAAGTAAGTAGCTGTGTTACGCTTCTGGATTGCAAATTCCAATGGCTTTAAAAAAAACTTTATTAAAGCAAATAACTGAGTAGCAAAATCGATAGTATTAGCTTCTCTAGCTGGACTTAGAAACTATTTTAAAAACTAA